TTTGCTCTTGGCACATGAGTTCCCGGATTCAGCCCATGCCAAGTCCCCTACCCCATCATGTATTCTGGGATCAGGGGAAGGGAGAAGGCATGGGTTTCCTCAGTGGCTGATCCCCAGGAAAGCCCTGGTGCTTCTACTCCTGAATGCCTGTACCTCAGATCCCAGCCCGTCCCATTGGGAAGATGCTTCTGGTGGGAGCAATTGCACTGCGGGGAGGCGTGAGAGGCGGGCTAGATGGGTGGGCAGAGTCTGAGCAGAGACCCAGGACCCTGCTCCTGCGTTGTCCCAGCCACACTCTGTGCCCTGGCCTGCACTGGTGACAGAAGAGATGAGAAATGGGATGGTATAGAAAGTTAAGGAAGTGAAAAGCTCACCTGGAGTACCTCTTGGAACAACAGATGTCATGGCACTTCTGCTACTACGCATTAGTCATTCTTCCAGATCCGATTGTGTGCCAGGTGTGTGCAAGGCATAGGCCACAGACAGTGCCCTGTAGAAGATTCTGTCCTCGCCAGGAATCACAGTTCCAAGGTGGGATAATTGCCCAGGAGGTGGGCAGCAGCCGCCTGGCCAGGCTCCAGGTGCTCACAGGAGCACTGTACACAAGAGATCTCACCTCCTTCAGCTCTGAGATTTGGGGGGCTCTGCCCGTTAACAGCACTAAGAGATCAGAAGGTGGGTATATTCATCTGTTCTCACACTGCTAATAAAGACATACCTGAAGTTGGAGTAATTTATAAGAAAAAGAGGTTTAATGGACTCACAGTCCACATGGCTGGGAAGCCTCATAATCATGACAGGAGGTAGAAAGAGGGAGTAAGGCATCTTGCATGGCAGCAGCAAGAGAGTGTGTGCAGAACTCCACTTTATAAAACCAACAGACTTCATGAGACTTATCACTATCACGAGAACAGCAAGGGAAAGGGCCCACCCCCATGATTCAGTTTGCCTCCCACTGGAGTCCACTCCCACAACACATGGGAATTGTGGGAGCTACAATTAAGGCGAGAGATTTGGGTGGGGACACAGCCAAACCAGGTCAAAGTGGGCATGAAGGCAGACTCAGGACTAAGAGGTTGGACTCTTAGGATTTTGGCTGATGTTCAGGGACACCATGAGTACAGCATTTGTGCAGAGGTGGAGAAGGATTGGTGACCATGAGCACTGAGCTGGTTGCAACAGAAGGGTCAGATCATGAGTGATCTGCAGGGCTTGACAGGGAAGCTGCGCCTGTGGTGCAGTGAGGAACCTCCCGTGCTCTGAGTCCCCTTTGGTTGCTTTGTTTTCAGAGATTGATCAGACAGCAAGGCTCACATGGGCTGGAGAGAGAACAGGGAGGTTCTTATAAAGGCCAGAGCCAGGCCACTTAAGAGACCTGACTAGGGTGGAAGCAGTGAGGAAGGAGGTGGAGACATAGAAATGCGGCTCCTTTGTAAGAAGCCTCAAATCCTGAATCATGTGGCTAGAAAGGGATGCAAAGGAGACAGGAAGAGGTAGAGCAGGCTCAAGATTTCCAGCTTTGGTTTCTGGAAAAGAAAGGATAGTGTCAGTAAACACACTAAAGTCAGATCCCGAGATTGCTTCACTTATGGGCAGCATTAGTAATTTAAAGACACCTTGGTCCTCGGGCACCTGGCGCTTGGCCTCGAGGCTCTGGCCAAATCATCAGCCCTTCTGAGTCAGCCAGGCCAGTACCATCTGAGGATGGTGCTGGGGAATTAGTGCCCACCCACCTTCTTCAGTTAATCTCTGGCTAAAGACCCTGGTAACCACATAGTTATGTTTAAAAAAATCCAGCTGGGCGCATTGGCTCGCACCTATAATCCTAGCACTTTGGGAGGCCGAGGTGGGCAGATCAGGAGGTCAGGAGATGGAGACCATCTAGCTAGCAGTGAAACCCCATCTCTACTAAAAATACAAAAATTAACGGGCGCGTGGTAGGCGCCTGGAGTCCCAGCTACTCGGGAGGCAGAGGCAGGAGAATGGTGTGAACCCGGGAGGCGGAGTTTGCAGTGAGCCAAGATTGCACCACTCCTTCTCCCAGCCTGGGCAGCAAGAGCCAGACTCTGTCTCCAAAAAAAAAAAAAAAAAAATTCCGTCTGTAGCATGTTCTTGAGATCTGCCTCTCCTGGGTGAAATGGCCCGAACTCCACAGGAGGTGATTTCAGGTGCACCAGGAATACCCGCAGAGTTGTCATCCTATAATGGCTCTGAGGAGGTGTTATTTTATTTTATTTTATTTTATTTTTGCAGTGAGGGGGCATTATGCAAAGTGAGGTGATCGGGATGGCCCCCCTCACTCAAGGCTTTCAAACCCTTCTCTGAAATCATCATGCCACTGAATCCACTTAGTCCTCACTACAACTGCCACCGAGAAAGGAATTTTTACCCACATTTCATAGGGAATCAGGACTTGAACCCAAGACTCAATATCCATACTCGATGCCCACCTTTCAGATGATGTCTACCACCCAGAGGCCCCAAATCAAGTCTTCGGGCAGCATCCTCCTTAGCAAGAGGATGCCTGGAAGACCCCTGCAGGTTGCACCTGCATCTGAGGACAACTGGGAAATTGGAGTGCGGTCCACTTTGGCGTCTGTGACCAGCTCGGTTCTGGAGCTGGGGTGGTGGAGGCAGAGAAGAGAGAAAGGGTGGGCATCAGCCCAGCAGCAGAGATCAGGCACCCTCTCCGGTTCCCTTTGCTGCAGCCTTGGCCTTGGCCTTAAGGGAGATCACTGGGAGGGGGTAGTGGAGCACATTTTGCTTCAGCTCAGCCCTTAATTTCTGCGCCATCTTTTATCCTATTCCCAACAGGTTCTCCTGACTCAGTCCTGTGGTCACAGAAAACTGGGATCACAAAACCTAGTCCTTCTTAAATCATTTGTATTACTTGTGAATTGAAGAATTGTTGACTGCTTTTTTCCCTGCGTGCGTGCCATGGAATTATTAAACAGCTGTCAAGTTTGGTTGAGTTCTGAGGACAGTGCCAGCGTGAGGAAAGGTATCAGTACATCTCGATCTTGGCTGGCTGGTTGTTTTCTATGTATTATTAACACCTTCTGATCTCATATACTCACTCATTCATCAAATATTTATTGTGCAAGACATTACTGCTGGGCTGCGAGTCTGTGTGTTTCAGTTTCCTGGGGCTGCCATAACAAAGGGTTATGAACTTGGTGGTTTAACAGAAGCTTATTTGCTCACAGTTCTGGAGGCTCAAAGTCTGAAATCAAAGAGTGTCCACAGAGGCCACATTCCTCTGAAAGCTCAGGGAGGACCCTTCCTTAGCCCTTTCTAGCCGCTAGTCCTTGTAGCAATTCTTGGTGTTTCCTGGCTTGGGAATGCATCACTCCAATCTCTGCCTCTGTTGCCACATGGGCTCTCATATCTCTGTGTCTCTGTTTTCCCTTCTTACAAGGACACCAGCCATTGCACTGAGGCCTGCCTACCCCGAGTAACCTCATCTAAACTAATTATGTCTGCAAAGACCCTATTTCCAAATAAAGTCATATTCTGAGGTTCTAGCAGACATGAATTTAGAAGTGAGACACTATAAAGGCTGTTTTCATGGTCTCCTTTTTTCTTTTCTTTTTTTTTTTTTCTGGAGACAGAGTTTCACTCTTATCACCCAGGCTGGAGTGCAATGGCACGATCTCGGCTCACTGCAGCCTCTGCCTCCCAGATTCAGGCAATTCTGCTGCTCAGCCTCCAGTGTAACTGGATTACAGGCATCACCATCACACCTGGCCCAATTTTTGTATTTTTAGCAGATATTAGGATTTCACCATGTTGGCCAGGCTGGCCCTCGAACTCCTGACCTCAAGTGATCCACCCTCCTCAGCCTCCCAAAGTGCTGGATTACAGAGCACTGAACTACCATGCCAGGCCCCATGGTCCTCATTTTTTCCCTTGAAAAGCAGCAGGAGGTGAGCTTGGAGTCTGGAGTCTTCACAGCAGGTACAGGGATGTAAAGGGGAGTATGGTCCTGTCTCAGGCTGGCAATTTTCTTAGGAAAGATGGGACACAATGACTATGACAAGAGGACAAGGCAGGGTGAGATTACTTGTCAAATGACACCAAGCACATGCATTCAAGCAATTCCACCAACCTGTGCGCTCAGGTCAGAGAGGGTTTTGGTGAGGAAGGGCAGTGAGTCACCTGAGAGTTGGTAGGGACTGGAGGAGGGTGGCGGGAGGCCCACATGGGCTCACTGGCTTAGGGAACAGCAGGTGCAACCATGGCTCAGCAAGAAAGATTCTGTAACTGGTGAGATGTCTAGCCCCATAGGTGTTGCAGAGTGGACACAGGCAGGTCACATGTGGGTTGAAACCACAGCTGCCTCGCCACTCACCGGCTGTGGTCTCAGATGAGTAACTGCAGCACACGGCATTGTCGTGGGGACTGGATCCAATCACATATGACAGAATCCTGGCAGCAGGGGCCCAGCCTGGAGGGCAGCCCCTCCAGGAAAGATTAAAACCTCTCTTCCATCCAAGTGCAAAAGCCAGACATCTGAGCATGACTCCGACCTCTTCCTCCCCAACTTTCACCAAAGTCAGTCTCTCCCACTTCCCTAAGCAGCTTTGTTCCATGTCCCTGACAGCCCTCTGATGGCACGTGCTCCTCATCCAGGGTCTCGCCCACTTGGCTGGACTGAAAGCTCTGCCTCAGCCTCCCTCCTGTTCCACCCGTTTTCCTGCAGCCTGAGCCGTCTTCCTCATGCAAATCTGGTTGAAGCTCTTCTCTCAGGCCCCTCTGTGGCCTCTGGTGCCCCTCAGGAGAGGCTGAGTCAACACTCAGGCCGGGTCTCTCGCTCCACTTTCTCATCCCAGTGTGTCCCCCACCTCTTATCCCGCTGTGGCTTACATATCTCTGTCTTCCTTTCCAACCTTTGTGAGGATTGTTCCCTCTGCCTGGAACTGTCCTTTTCACTCTTAGTGAGCCCAGGCTGCCACAACAAAATACCGTGAGCCCCAGGCTGCTTAAACAGCAGGCATTATTTTCTCACAGCTCTGGAGGCTGAAAGTCCAGGATCAGGGTGTGGCAGAGCCGGGTTCTGGTGAGGACTCTCCTCCTGGTGTGCAGACTGCTGCCTTCTTGCTGTGTCTGTTGAGGAGAGAGAGAGAGAGAACTCCCTGGTGTCTTTTCTTATAAAACCACTAATCCCATCATGCGGGCTCACCCCCGTGACTTCATCAAAACATCACCTCCCAAAGACCCCGCCTCCTAAAACTGTCACATTGGGGATTAGGAATTCAACATAGTTTTGGGGAGGGGGCACACATATTCGGTCCATGGCACACTCTCCCAACGCTCTGTTTACTGCTCCTCCTCTTTCTCTTTGAGATTTCACTTTGGATATTACTTCTCCCAGGAAGCCTTTCCTGGTACCCCTGAGACTGGGCTGAGGTTCCCTGTGAGTTTCAGGCTAATGCTCTCCTTCCTCTCTCAGAGATGGCATCTTGTTCCTCTACAGATGACCTGGTCCTGTTACAGAACAGAAGGCAACCCCCTAACCTCAGTGCTGTTTTTGACTTTCTAGGGCCACCGGGACCCAAAGGTGATCAGGGGGATGAAGGAAAGGAAGGCAGGCCTGGCATCCCTGGATTGCCTGGACTTCGAGGTAATGGGCATGCCCCTGGGAGGGATCTGGGAGAGACCCCCAATCCATCTCTACTACCTACTTTCTTGCTGGTATAAATGCCAGGGCTGCCCAGGGGAGCACCCAGTCAACTCCACCTCAAACGCTCTGTTCCAACAAGAGACTAAGAGGTTGCTGGTATCACGATGGGATGCAGCACATACTTTTTCTTAGCAAGTGCCACAATCTGAAGGAAAAGGGTACAGTACAGGCCTGAAGCTCCCCGAAGCCCCTTCTCAGCCCAGGAGCCAGGGTCTGTGTGGGCAGAGCGTGCAGAAGGCATTGGAGATGTTTTGAGATTCAGACCAACCCTTCAAAGATGCTGTCCCATCAATGTTTCCCGATCAGCAGCCACCTGCCACCCTCCTGCCCCACCATGACTCCTGCTGACCCTGCCCAGGTCTACGAATGGGTCATGAATGCCTATCCCTTCCCCTTTTGATCCCTCCCCTCCCCATCCTGCTGCACACAGCGACAGCCCTGAAGAGCCAGTGGCTGGTGGGGAGGGTACTTTGGGCCCTCTAGAAAGGCAAGGTTCTTCTTAGACTCACTGTCTCCAACGCTCCTGCTGAGTTCGTCCGTTGTACCTTGCCCACCAGTCTGTCCATTCCTCAGCCTGTGCTGTGGGCAACATTTTGCTGGGAGACTGTGGTCTTCTGAGTGATGGAAGAAAAGGAAATAGAGGGAGAAAGGTGCCCAGTTATTTATTTTAGGAATTATACCCCCAAACCTTCTGCTTCCTAAATCTCTAAGACGTTGCAAACACAGTAGAGGGGACAGTGCCTGGAGGAAGGAGAGATCCCAGCCCAGTCTCCACTCCTGGCCCTCCCCTCTCAGGGAACCTCCCTAAAGTCAGCACTGAGGCTGCTCAGGGGCTCATGGGGCTCTGGAACTGCATTTTCTGCCCTAGGGAATCGTAAGATGGGGAGCCAGGGGCATAGCTTGTGCTAAATCAAGAATTCTGTGGCAGTGGAGCTATTGGACTCTGGGAACAGATATGTTGTATTAGGAGGGAAAGGGAGGAAACCCAATCAGCTCTCTCTGAGAAACCCGTCTTCTTCCAGCCATTGGACCTAGGACTAGAGGAATAATTCATTACTGGGAGACAGATTTCTCCAAGTCCCAGAAAACGCCCAAAGCAAACCAACTCACATTCCAAGCAGGAAAGAACAATTAGTCAGTTAATTAAGGGTGCTCTGCTTTGCAGAGATAACTGCGCCTTAGGCCAGGCCTCATGGGGGCCAGGGCTCTCACTCGGTCAAGCACTTGTTTATGCTGGCTCTGCATGGTGCTGTCACCACAGGAGGTGGCCAAGGGGCCTCATGGCCAAGAGCCCTGGGGTTTGATCGGCAGCAGGCCATCCATTTACTGACTTCGCCTCCAATCCCTTTTGCTATACCTCCCTGTGTGTATGCAAGGGAAGGGATCTTTTTGTGTTTTTTCTTTTTTTTCCTTAAATAAAATGAGAAGCTATTTTTTCTTCCACCCACCCCCCTCCCTAAGTACCTATAAGCCCTGTTGATCCAGCATGAAGTGATGCTGACTGACCATGAACTTTTATTTCAGCAAGAACAGGGCTCAGATCCTGCCTCCAACACTGCTGTGTGACCTTGGGCAGTTTACTTACTCTCTCTGAGCTCCGATTGGCTCATTTGTAACACAGGCAGAATAATCCCTCCCAGTGTTGTGATGATTAAATGAGATACTTTATGAAAAGCATCCAGAGCAGGGCCTGGCACACAGAAAGCGCTCAAAAAAGTGTTTACTGATTCTAGACCGGGTGCGATGGCTCACGCCTGTAATTCCAACACTTTGGGAGGCCAAGGCAGGCAGATCACTTGAGGTCAGGAGTTTGAGACCAGCCTGGCCAACATGGTGAAACCCTGTCTCTACTAAAAACACAAATATTAGCTGGGCATGCTGGCGTGCGCCTGTAATCCCAGCTACTCAGGAGGGTGAGGTGGGAGGATTGCCTGAACCTGGGAGGCGAAGGTTGTAGTGAGCTGAGAGGGTGCCACTGCACTCCAGCCTGGGTGACAGAGCGAGATTTTGTCTCAAAAAAAAAAAAAAAAGTGTTGCTGATTCTAAATCTCCAGCATGCTGAAGGGCAAAGGAACACCCCAAAAGGGATGGGCCCCCTACCGTCACTCACAACAGCACTGGACCTTTCTAGCGGGAGGATCCCGAGCCTGACGGATACAGGGTGTGCGTGGGGTGGGTCCGTGTGGACCTGTTTGACTCTGCTGTGGCGGCATCTTTAGATTAACAGAAAAAAACCAGACACAAAGGCTAAGAGAGGATGTGGGGGGGAGGCTGAGCCTTGAACCTGACGATGACCTCTGAGGGTCCTTCCTGTTCTGCATCTGAGGCTCTGCCATTTGTCTGTTTTCTCCCCAGGTCTGCCCGGGGAAAGAGGTACCCCAGGATTGCCCGGGCCCAAGGGCGATGATGGGAAGCTGGGGGCCACAGGACCAATGGGCATGCGTGGGTTTAAAGGTAATAACAATTTCAGTTTTCCCTGAGCCTCACCACCAGTCCCAGGTAGTACGTGGTCATTGGCATGGAGGACCAGGACTCTCATCTTCACTGTGCCACGGACCAGTGGGGCAACCTTGTGCAAGTCACTTCATTTTGTTAAAGCATTTAGTTTTTCTTCTAAAAACTAGAAACTCTCAGCCAGGCGTGGTGACTCATGCCTGTAGTCCCAGCATTTTGAGAGGACCAGGCAGGAGGATTGCTTGAGCCCAAGAGTTTGAGATCAGCCTGGGCAACACAGCAAGACTCCATCTCTAGAAAATATAAAATAATTAGCTGAATGTGGTGGCACGTACCTGTAGTCCCAGCTACTTGGGAGGCTGAGTGGGAAGGATCTCTTGAGTCCAGGAGTTGGAGGCTGTAGTGAGCTATGACTGTGCCACCACCCTGGGTGACAGAGCAAGAGCTCATCTCTAAAACAAAATAAAACAAAACACACACACACACAAATCTAGAAATCCTCATGATACCGTATTTCACAGGTCTGTCAGGAGGAGTGAGCAAGCATGTATGTGTGCAAATGCTAAAGTCCTTGTAGAAATGCAAGGGAGTGTTATGATAGGTTGCAGCCCAGAGATGTAATCAAAGAAAGCCATCAAGGTGACCCGCAGGGCAGACACCAGGTCTGCAGGCCCAGGACAGCCCTCCTCCCCAGTCCTGCCAGACTCCTGACCTTCTCTATACTCTTCTATTCCCCCAGGATTTACAACTTTAATTCAGTTCTCAGATTTACAGTGCCAAAAATGTTCTTTCTGATTGGCTCTTCTTCCTGTAGGCAGTCCCCTTGTTTATTTTTAGGGGAACCGACTTTTACATGTCTTTTCATGCTCGCTTCAAGATTGTCTAAACCTCTCCTAGCATCACTGCGAAAGATGAGGACATCTGATGCTCTTTCCCCAGGCTTCCTACTCCTCACTTGTTAAAATGAAAACTAAGAAAAAAGTACTACTAATCATTCCCACCCCATGCCTAGGGTGATCTCTTGATCTTGGATCACTGATAAATTTTATTTTACTTTCTGGTCGGTGATGAAACAGGCTGAGGTTTTCCTTTCTTTTATGATCCCATTTTAAAAAGTTGATTTTAAAACAGATTGTAAAAGCAGCACATGCTTGTTGAAAATAAAATTAGAGGCTGGGCAAGGTGACTCATGCCTGTAATCCCAGCGCTTTGGGAGGCCAAGGCAGGTGGATCACTTGAGACCAGGAGTTCAAGACCATCCTGGCCAATATGGCGAAACCCTGTCTCTACCAAAAATACAAAAATTAACTGGGCATGGCAGTGCACACCTGTGATCCCAGCTACTTGGGAAACTGAGGCAGGAGAATCACTTGAACCCGGGAAGTGGAGGTTGCAGTGAGCTCAGATTGCACCACTGCACTCCAGCCTGGGCCTGGGTAACAGAGTGAGACCCTGTCTCAAAAATAAATAAATAAAAAATTAAAAAAACAAAACAAATTAGACAACACAGAAGTTCATAAAGCAAAAAGTCTCCACCCCTCAGTTCCCCCAGCTCTCTTATTCTTTAGAATAACTACTGTCAATGCTTTGGGGCATACCCTGCTGGATAGTTTTCTGAGCACATTCCTATATATGTATATGGCTGCCTTTTTTTTTTTTTTTTCAAGTCTTAGATCATCCTCGGCATTCTCCCCTGGAATTTGCTGGCTTTCTTTTTTCACCAGACAGCATGCCCATGGGTTTTTGATTTGCAGATGTCTTTCTGGAGGTCCTTGGAATTGAAGTCCCTTGTCATTTTAATGTCCAGCGAGTGGTGCCAGGATTTTCTACTTCTTTGTAGAGGGAGATGCCAGCTGGCCAAAGAGGTCATATTCTCTTTTATCTATCTCCTTTAGTCATATCCTGGGAAGGAAATGCCACAATTCCCTGGTATCTCACACTTACGTTTTATGGTCTCTCCCACAAGAAAACCTGCTTGACGTAGAACCCGCCTCTCCCCCTATTTAACTAAAGCCCCCTCTCCCTTGTTTTCCCCTGGGCTCATTAGAACAAACTTGGATGTGGACTTCTAAAACCCCGAGTGTTTAATAGGAGTATCTTTGACTTGTCTTCTTCCTGCAAAATTCCATGTGCTCTTGGAGGCTGTGCTGGTAGAGGCTGCTCTTTGGTTCTTTACGAAGGGGTGGGATTTTCTCACCCGTGCCTCGTCCTTCTCGGGGTACCCAGGGCAGATGGCAGAATTGGCTGCCCTCTTCTCCTGCCTGCTGGGCTCTCCAGTTGCTGCTGGCTCCCGCCTGAGAGTTTCTCTGGTCTCGAGTTCATCAGTCTCCTGCAGGTAACATTTTATTCACAATTAGGATTTGTTTCCATTTCTAATGCCAGTTTTCCTTCTCTGTTTTAGGTGAGCGAGGCCCAAAAGGAGAGAAAGGAGAGAAAGGAGACAGAGCCGGGGATGCCAGTAAGGACATGTTGCTGGGGTCCTGGGATACGGTGTTGACACAGGGCTAGCTGTCTCCCAAGCAGCTCTATGAGTTTGGAGGTTCAGAGGCTGGAGCCATGGCTGGGGTTCAAGTGTTAAAGGAGACTCCCTACCTTTTTTAGGGCTCTGTTGGTCTAGCAAGAGATGCTGATAGACCCCAGGGGCACTGGCCACATTTCTCGAGGTGTCATAAACCTGGTGATTGTGTGCATGGATCTGGAGGCTTTCCCTGGCCGCTCACTAGCCCAGCTGGGTATAATCTCTGTGCCTCAGTGTTCTCGTCTGTAAAATGGTGATAACAGGAGTCCTTACCTCATAAGGTCGTTGTGAGAATTGAATGAGTTAATCTGTGTAAAGTGCTTACGATCGTGCTGGACACCTGATGAGGACTCAGTTCCTGTTTGTGATTATTATTCTGTGTAATACACCCACTCAGACACGCTTCCTGAAATCATCAGAGGTGTTTGCACAAATTCAGCTACTGACCTTGTTAAAGGCCTCCCCTCCCTGGGTGTTACACAGGGAAAGGTGCAGAGACAAAGTGGCATCGCCTTTGTTTTCCCTGTTTGCCACTGATGGAGGAGTGACACTGGAGAGCTCACGATCTGGCAGACCACGCGGTTCTTTCTGATGCAGTCCTTGCTAGAATGTTGACAAGGGAATCAGCTTATTTAGTTGTGGCACTCTTCTAGGGTTTACTTTTCCCCACAAAGTGCTACATGTAGAACCTTGGAGACTTGCCAGAGAAGAATGAGCAATCTCCCAGCCAAGTTGAAAAAGGAGCAAAAGAAAAATCCCCAAACCCAGCATGTGGTGTAAGTTGGCTCTGTCCCGTGCGAGGGCGCAAGCAGAATATCACTGCCTCTGGCATCTGGGCTCCGGTCCTGGCTCTGGGAGGATGGGGCCTGGGGAAGAGTCTCTGTGTTCTAGCTTCCCCGCCGGAAACTCAGGGACTGGGGCCACTGCAGAGTCACAAGCTGGGCATAGAAAGGGGTCTCATGACACCCAAATAAATCAAGAAGACTGTCAGCCCCACGAAAGCCCCATCGAAATTCCACACAATACCACAACCCACAGCACCACAACCCACAGCACCGCTAATCATTAGCCATAGGCCTCCATAAATAGGAGAAGGTTTCAAAGAGAAACCTACAAACCCTACAACCAAAAGGACACTTAATAAAAATATAGCATGTGCCATTATTCCCACAAGGACTATAACCATGACTAATGACATGAAAAATTATTGTTGTACTTCAACTGTAAGAACACTAATGGCCAAGACCCGCAAAACACACCCGCTAATAAAAATTATTAGTTACTCATTCATTGATCTTCCCACACCATCTAACATTTTTATATGATGAAACTTTGGCTCACTTCTTGGTGCCTGCCTCATCCTCCAGATCATTGCAGGATTATTCCTGGCCGTGCAGTACACATCAGACACTTCAACTGCCGTCTCTTCAGTTGCTCCTATCAGCTGAGATGTAAACTACAGCTGAATGGTCTGTCATTTTCATGCTTCCTTGGCCTCAGTAGGTCCTTCAGATGAGATCAAGCACACTCAGGGTGGTATGGCACAGTAGGCCCTTCAAATGACACTTTCGTCACAGCTGTGCAGGACCAGAAG